TGGTGAGAAGAGAAGTCACTGATAAATCCCATGGCCGGATTGACCGTTCTACAATAGAACTTGTTCGCAGCGTAATATAGCTATCGCTTTGCAAGAGGTAGTATATAATTAAGCAAGGGATCGCACATTGGGTCGCAAGCGTGCTGACCTATGCATGTGCGATGATGCGGTACTTCTGTATAGATCATGGAGCTGAAACTCAGTTGTGTCGCAGCGTGGTTCTGGCAGAACAGCACTTGGCTAGAATACTCCAAGTACAGGTCCAAAGACCCAGTGAAACCTGGTCCTTTACCTCACTGAGTATAGTATATAGTGTATTATAGTTATGTGTATGATCATGATATCAACTCCAGTCTAAGTGAGATCTTTGACCTGTAGTTCCTGCACAGCTTTGCCTTCGCGGTCCAGGAAGTATGGAAAGCGCGGCCAAGCTGCTTCACCAGACTCACACCTGGTCGGTGGCCACGGACACTTGGACCGAAATGGGTTTGGACCTCAGCATTGCTCATCAGTGTTTGTGTATTTATCATTTATATTAATTTACTATTTACATACCCCTTAACATATCCCAATATGAAAGCACAGGGGTCCACTCCCCTATAAAACGGCTTTATACATGTATAAAGGGGAATCTATTTACTATGAATGGAAATTGCTCGAAGTCGGAGAATCCACATGAAACCTTTGGATGGAATCAAGCTGGATCCTCCGTGTGGGAATCAAGCTGGATCGTCCGGTGATGCAGTATTTTTTCTTTCCAGGAACAGACACTTCACTTGGTCCGCATGGCGAGAAACATGGAGATGGTTAGTGTTTGTTCCATGACCTGTGACAGTCAATAAAAGCTTATCACTATTTTTCAATAACAGTCACTATGCCTTTCCTAAAACCATCATCATCCACGGTTACAGGGAATGGAATACACTGTTCACTCAAGAGATGCATCCAGAATCCACTCCTTAAGACATCTGACCGCCTTCGCCCGAACGCCCGAACGCCCAGAGCAGTCTTCCCGGGCTCCGACCGCACGAACCGCCTGGGCGGAGCGGAGGCCACGAAGGTCCTGGAGGTCCGGCGACGCTTTCCACGCGCCAACGTGCCGGTGGCGCTGGAAGTACTCCGCCGCTTGGGTGGCGATGGATGTCGAAATCGGCCGTGAAACGATCGGTTTTTTTGGAGGGGGAGGTGTTTGGAAGCCCAGAAACACCGCATTCGTTTTTTTTGCATTTTTGTGCTATAATTAGATGTCATTGCTAAGGAAAAGGGACATACAATACACATCATCTCCCAAGAGCCCCTGACTCCGGCTCTGATGGCCCGTCTGGCATCACTTCCACCCACCCGTCCACCCCCCCCCCCCCCCCCCCACCCACCCACGTGTCTCTCTCCACCGCGCTTTGAGGCCGCAACGACGACGACCCCCACGCGGCGTGCGAGATGCTCGAGGAGTTCCGACAGCGGATCCGGCGCACCGTGAGCGAAGAGTGGGATCACTACTTGCTACAAGGCGCGGTGCGCCAGTCATCGGGTCATCGGGTCATCGGCAGATCCTCCGCAATCTGCAAGGTGTAGATCGAGTCTAGCAACTTTGGAGACCACCCACCCCAAAGGTGGTCTCAAAACAGTGGTCCTCCATGTCTCTATAGGCGAGTGACACGGTGAGTGTTGATTGTTTTTTTGGGGGAGTTATTCTTGGAGCTGGGCACATGAGGCAAGTTGACCTTCGTCTTGCCGGTAGGCCTAAGCTGTTGCAATTCCCATGCCCCATCATGCCCCCAACACATCCAAAAACCATACCAGCTACAAACCGCATCAAGCCACAAAAAACACCACATCTCCCGATCATCTCGCCAAACTCAAGAAAAGCCACCAGCAACTCCTCTCCACACCTCCCTCCCTCCCTCCCTCCGGCTCTTGCCCTAGGGGAAGAGGCCATGGTGGCCGATGCGGCACTGGACCGGTGTGGTTGGGACCCTTCGAAGGCCTTCTTGGCCGCGCGGCACCTGGCCGTCGCGGCCAAGAGCACCCGGAAGCTGGCGATGACCGCGGCGCCTCAGCTGGAAGGATGGATCTCAGTGGGGGCAGCAAGGGCCGAGGGTCTCTGCAGGGGCCGAGGGCAGTGGGGGGATCAAAGCATAGAGTGCTGTGAAGCTTAGTGTTTCTATTCGTGTGGGGACTGCTATCTAGACAGAGAAAGCGATGGTGGATTTTTGCTGGTTTCAAACCCCTACCAATGGAACCCAAAACCTACGAATTTGTCGTGTCTGATGGAAAACATCGTGTTTGGGCTCCACTTGACTAAAAACATTGTGTTTCTGTTGAAAACATCATTTTTCCAAAAGCACTAAGTTTCGAACCCGTATAAAAACCGTAGAAAACCCGTAGAAAACCGTAGAAAACCCGTAGAATCCCGTAGGCAATCGTATCGTTTTGAGGAAGTCAAAAAACCTCGTGTTTTCATTAAAAACCTCGTGTATTTTCAGGGTATGACATTTTTAGGAGTTCTTGGTTCTCTAGGTATAGGAACCCGAAAAACGGCCAAGGCGAGAGGCGAGTTGCTTGCGGCACATGTGGACCCTTGAACTCTCTTATTAACGCCACTGAGGTGCAGCATCCCTCCTTCTCCCAGCCGCGTTTCCCCATTGACGCGGTGATCGCCGCACTGGTGGCCACGGATTTGAAGCCCAAAGTGGCCGTGCGAGCGCCGTGGCCGTGGGAAGGGTGGGATAGGGTGGGATGGGGATGGAGGCGTGGGGAGATGTCGTTTGAGAGGTGAACGATTGAGCAGGAACATTTTGCAGGTGGAGATTGTAGTGGAGATGGCTTGGGTATGACGGTGGTGGATTTCGGTTGGCTGGTTTCTCACCGGTACGTCGTTTTAGTTAATCTGGTTCTTGCTTGGATTCAATCAACCTGCTAACATAACATTTACTTCTTGTACCTACCAGTCCACCTACAGTACCTACCATTCGGCCTGTCTACCTATCTACCTATCTATATCTACCTCCTTATCGAACTGACTAGCTATACCCAACAAACGACCTCAGACCAGCTGAGCGGCCGTAAAAACGCCGCGCACACCGCACAGCCAGCCCTGCGTGTACTGCGTGTAGCGGAGGTCCTTTTCGGTGAGCCCCAGTGGAAGGACGTGAGGCAGAGCGAGCCTGAGCCTGAAGAAGACGACTCGACCTGCTGCGTTGCTTAAAAGATGGACGGACGTCGACCAGTCCATCGGACGGCGTGGTGACGTGGATGGCATGGGTCCGATCACCTCATTGTCCTCGTTGTTGAAGGTTTTGGAGTGTAGATGTCAGAGGGATGGTGGGGGTGGGCAATGGAGTGGTGGAAGTGTTCGTGGCTTGTTTTCTGGTGCAGAGGTGCCCCAATCGGAGGTATCGAACTGAGCCTTCTTCGTTGAACTGAGGTATGGAACTCAGGGAATCCCTAAGAGGCACCTCCCTTCAAGCGACTTGTGATGTGCAGTTGATGAGGCAAAGTTAAGGTACAAAAACCTCATGTTTAAGTGAAAACATGTGAACATGCTTTCTGTGGCTAGTTGCAAATAACCCTCACATCCAGGAATCCACTTTCGCATTTCAAAGTGTACCGGACATTTCAAAGTGTACCGGATGAACAGGGCATAATAGGGTAGATCACTGACTTACAGAACGTCACGACTTGGAGATACTTGAAGATCCTTGAAGATGCGGAAGATGGACTTCAGAAAGCAGATAGGTTTTATGATGAAGCCATCAGGGAACACACCCCGAAAAACCAAGCATCTATTTGATGGGAGAGTGTCTCCGGGGTCCTAGAAATCTCATGCCGTAGAGCTCCCTCAGCTGCAGGAGCAAGGACGCCTTGAATCCGTGAGACGTTGCACCTCTTTTTCCTTACGCCAGAGCCGTGCGTGCGTTTGTGCGTCACCAAAAGGTTCCGACGTAGCACTTGGACGGAAGTTGTGGAGTGATTTCTGACACTCGTTCTGTTGTGTAGGACCCTACCTGAGGATACTTGAGGCTTTAGTATCGCCATTGTTTGTTTTTCACCAACATTTATTTGTTCGACCCTTAGTGGTGTTCCAGGCCCTTTTTGTGTCCTGCACACAGACTTGGACAGAACTGGCACGAAACCACCTGCCTTGGTGGTGGTCGCTTGTGCTTCCCTGGCTCGGACATGAATATGCATGGCATGGATGCGTTTTTCTTCACCTCACCAGTCAACAACTGCACAGGACCTGTTTCTTCAGCTTCCAGCAAGGTTCTTTGTAAATAAAACTTGTTGAAACAACAACATTTACTGTTTCAGGACCCCTTCGTGGCCTTCCATATGGACTTGCTTCTTGTTCAACAGGACTTGGATGCAAGAATGGACCTTCGAGCCATGCTTTCGAGCCATGTTCCTGTGATAGGAAGGGACCATTTTCATTTGATTGTTTTGGGGTACTTGGTCATCCGAAATAGAGGTCACTCAGGTTCTAGATATATGGGAATGGGTTGACCACCAGCTCGGTTTTGACGTTTACCCTCATGTTTTTCAGATTTATGGCGCTCAACTTGCGGCTCTCATCGGCACATCTTTCCTCGCCCAGCGGGCGAACGGAGTTCGGTGCTTTGAGAAACACTTGCGAACCACGACGGACGCCCCATTTGAAGGTGTCGAACGGATAGAGGAACTCCTTCTCCTCACAGTCCAAACGGGTAAAGGTTGTTAGAGATAGGACGAACTCATGTGTTTTGTGCGATAGTTGCCAGGATTTTCTTGGTAACTGACTTCTATTGTACTTGGCCTCGAGGCAACCACCATTTTCTGGAGTTTGTGTGTGTGACAAAATATTCTCATGGCCAATGACTCACATATTCTTCCGTAGTACCATGTTCGGCCGTTGTTGAACCACCGATTTCCCACCACACTGACTTTGCTGCTGAATGTCCCGGCTCGGCTCACAGTCAGTAGACACGGGAGGAAGGTGTTTCAGTCATCATGCTTGGAGCTCAGGAGGGTTGTTGTTAGTGGGTGGTGATCTTGGCTGGTTGCTGGATGTTGTTTGCCATCATTGTTGGTATGTTGGTGTCTCCAACATGGTGATGGTAATGCAGGCAGCAAACGAACATGGGCTTGTCGAGTGAGATGAAATACTGTGACATTGTTCAGCTTGCTTGAGCTCCTGGAAATGTATTAGTTATCATATCATGCCTTTCTGTTGCGCAACATGTGCGCCACTCTTTTGCGCCAGGCACAGATGTCACTCTTGTACTGTCATGCGGGGTGGCTCAAGTCTCCTTTCTACTTGGACCTGGAGCATTTTCGAGTCAGGGGCGCTCAGGGTCACTCAGTGTCCTAAAGCAGTCAAGGGTGTCTCAGCCATGGGTTCTGCCTTGAGCACCGAAGAGCTGAGGAGTGTGACTTCGGCCCTCCAGAAGCTTTCGGAGAAGGACAAGAAGGTGCAGGAGAAGGCTGCCGCCGAAGTGTGTGAGATGGCAGATGATGAGGAGATGAGAAAGGAGATCATGAAACCTGAAATGCTCACTGCATTGATGAAGGGTGGACAGTTGGGAAGTCCAAAGGCACGGAAGATTGTAGTCAGGACCACGATGGTGTTGGCCGACCATTCCCCCAGCAGATGCAAGATGCTCATTAAAGCCGGTGCTATGGATGTCTTGCACTCTTTGGCCTTAGCAAAAAAGAGTACCAGTGAAGCCAAGAGGTTGGTTGCCAATTGTGCATGGCAACTCTTGCGGTATGACCACGAAGTAAACAACATCGACAACATGCCCGAGGACCCTCAACTCATTGAAGCTCTAGTTTGCTGCGTCAAATCAGCTGCGAAGGAAGGCAAAGAGAGAGCCAGTGATGTCCTCCGATGGCTCGGAAAGAAGGAGACCAACCGAGCCAAGATCGTCGAGGCAAGTGGTCTTGAGACATTGGCACGCTTGGCAAGGTGCGGCACTCAACGGGAAAGAAGCTCTGCACAACGTGCCTTGGAGGAGTTGGACGAAACCACGATCGAAGACAAAAGTGGCAAGGCCAGAGCTGAAAGCCGACGGAAAGCATTTCGGCCATTCTCACTCTATCGGATGCTGCCATCTCGCATGTGGACTTTACTTGGATGGAGAGCCAAGAGGATGCAAGAGGCAGCCTTCAAAGACGCATCCATCACTCCCCTGGAAGGCAGTCACCTCAGCTTCAATACACCCAGCCAGGTGGCTGCCATGGATGCCCCACAGGCCCTAGTTCCAGCAGTCAGCTTCAGCACAGCCAAGCGCCCACCTGACAGTGTCCGACGTCGGTGGCAGCGACTGTCGTGTGAGGCAGAGGTAGAGGATGAAGACAGTGAAGAATACATGATAGACATGCCTGAGGATCCCCAAGTCATCAAGGACTTCGTTTGCTCCGTGAAGTCAGAGGCAGGTGAAGGCAAGGCCGGCGCCACCGAAGTGGAGGATGTCGTTGATGCAAGTCTAGACTCCTTGCAAACCTTGGCCTGCTTTGGCACCGATGAGCAGAAGAACTTTGCTGAACAGACTTTGAAGGAGCTGTTGGTCGGGGAATTCTCTTCAGCAATTGAACAGCTCAAAGACGACGATGAAAAGGTGCAAGAGGAGGCAGCCGCCAAATTGTGTGAGTTGGCAAAGAATCATAAGAGGATCAAACCCGAGTTCATGCGGCCTCAGACGCTTCAAACATTGATGTCTTGCGGAAAGTCGGGGACTGAAAAAACCCAAAGACGTGTAGTCAAAACCCTGATAGAGTTGACCGACAGCTCCCACGACTGCAAGATCATCAGACAAGTCGGTGCCATCGATTTCTTGCACCCTTTGGTCTCAGAGTCTACTTCCAGGAAGTCCAGGGAACTGGTTGCCCAATGTACATGGAACCTGCTGCGCTATGAGAATGACGACAACATGCCCGAAGACCATCAACTCATTGCAGCTTTAGTATCTTCGGCCACGTCCGCTGGAGGAGAAGGCAAGAGGTTTGCCGTTGGCGTCCTCGGATGGCTCGGGAAGAAGGAGATCAATCGAGCCGAGATCGTCCGGGCGTGTGGTCTTGAGACCTTAGTATGCTTGGAAAGGAGTGGCACTCAACAAGAAAGACGTGCTGCACGATGTGCCTTGGAGGAGTTAGCAAAAGCGCCTGAGATTGCGGACCAGATCGAAGAGCTCAAGTCTGTCAAAGCACTTGGCCTGAGGGAGAACAAGTCCTTTGGAAAAGCCGAGAAGCAAAGAGACATGGCAGCAATAAGCAAATCAATTGTTTGTTTTCTTTTATGAACACGGCTGAGTTTTGCAACCTGTGCATGTGCATGGCCACAGCCCGGACGGACAGGACGTGACTCCCATATTGAATATCTAACTGTTGCTTTAAATTTTGTCTTAATGCGTTTTCATGGCTTGGAGTATAGTCTGACGGCCACACCACTATCATTCAGTGTTACTTTGGGTTCGGCAACAATTTAACTAAGTCAAGTCCTTTAGGGGCGGCATAAGGGGATTGTCACAGAGAAGATAATGTTTTGAGGGCAAAGGTGATGAAAGGTGTTTGAACATGATGTTTTCCACCCCACTACCCAACATGCCGGTGAGAATGTTGAGATGCCATTGATTCTTTTGGTTGGATGGTTTGACACCAATGGCGGCTTTCAAGCCGTATAAGTTCTCCCAGGAAGGGGCCAAAAACCGGGGCCGTTTTCGGCAGAGATTCAGTGTGTCGAAGGTGATGGCAGAAACGCAACACCTGCGCCTTTGACGGCAACAACCATTCAATCAGGCAACCTGGCCGAGATCTTTTTCATTGCAGCGAAAACAATGTTGTTTTTTCTTAGGTCCGCGGGTAATTGCTCATAATCAAAGCCTTGGATTGTTCAATCCAAGGTAAAGGCACTCCTGTTGCTATGTTCTCCTTGCGCTTTGATGGCGGAGAGGTCTCTTGTTGGCGTAAGCTGGGACCGTTTTGACGATTCGATGTGGGGCAGTGATGGATGATGTACAGATATGTTAGCCGTTAGATGAGCAGTTAAATGAGCAGGCCGCAACCGTTTTTAAAGATTGATGAAACAACACTCAGGTTGAGAAGAACTTCAGGGCAGTTCACGCATTGCTCCAAGCTTATGAGTATGACGTCCTGATGGTTGATGCTGATGCGGGAGACAATTTTGGTATCCTCACAACGGAGTACCTTTCAAGAGTCAAGAACGAGAACGGGGTGATGCTCGCTGTTTGCACCGAAACATATGGAGACTTGGAGTGAAACCATTTGCTTGGGTATTGATGTTTCACGGAACAATGTGGGTAGTAAATGCGGGAGGATAGCAATGTTTTTTAATGGATAGATCCGTTGATGCCCTCGGTCAAGTCATTAGTCAAGGAGGGCTAGCTGCTAGCAGTTTCCAATGAGCCACCCAAGGCGAGATGACAACATCACCGTATTGCAGCGGGAAGGAAGTGCAATATGCTTCAGATTACAAGATCCAAGTGGTGCCCCTGTGGGCCGCAGGTGTCTATCCTCCCAAGCCTCCAGGGTGTGGGCAGAGCTATGTAGACATGATTTTTAGGCCTAATCTTGTATACTTGGATTGCAGAGAGAAATCGATCCAGCAGATTGCGGCAGACATTGCCAATCGCTTGCACCGTTGCAGTAGTAAGAGCAGGTCAGGTAGTGCTTAGAATGCACAAGGCGAGATCTTACAGTGATGAAATCCTACACGAATGATCAATTGGTCAATTGAAGCTTTCGACACCTTTTGATACACGTTTTGGCCCATTAAAGAAGAATCCATTGTTGGTCCGATCATGTCAATGAAGTGGGCACTCTTTAGGTAGGATTCACATGTTTAAGCAGC